CAGATGATGGTCAAATATTTGTTGCATGAACTTGTAAACCTGTGAGGGTGGAGTACAGTCCACGATTAATATGCTGGTAACTCACCTTCAGAAATCATTTTTACTATATACAAATAGCACATCAAGAGGCTTCTGATTTCATACTGATCCAATCGGTTATACTGAGATACACTACTCCTTGCAGAACTCTGCCGAGTCTGTAATACAAAGATAGGACTTTTCTGAAACAATATTGGTACTGTAGCTTCCCATAGCCTTTAACTCAATAACTGTTTTAACCATTAGTCCTGTTTGGGAAAATTCTAAGCATAAATCCAAATTTTATATCACATTTGGAAGGTAAATGGGCTGACTCTTCTTTGCTACTGTACCTAATAATATCACTGGAAATTACCTTGCAGTCTTCATCAAGATATAGCCATGAATATACTGTGTATGTTTCATTCCCATAGGTCCTGTGTTTTAGTAAGAAAACATTTTGAATAATCATATGTGGCTATTCCAGGAAAAAAACAGCTTTTACGTCAAGGAGAAACTTAACTAAGGTACATCGAAGCATAAGAAGCATTTTAAACTCTTTAACTTCAATCTCTCCTTAGAGTTTATTAAAATCCAACGTCTAAATAATAGGTCAGAAAATCTATCTTAAAAAGGGGGCTTAATGACATCACAAGATAATTTTACTAAGGAGGACCCAGTAATACTTCAAAATTAGAGCCTCTACAAAGTAGTGATGTTCCTATTATTTAGTGACTTTTGTTAAAATATCAGTTAAAAATGACAAGATCTGACTTATTTGGGGATTTGTATGAATACAGCAATGACAATCTCCTAACGAATGTACCCTTGTTAGAAACCAATACTTTCAGCTGAGCTAACCTGGGCTGGGGATATATATTTACTAATCTAGGACTCACCAAGAACTTCTACCTGGAGCAAAGCATCTAGGTCCTGAACGCTTGCTAGCTGTGTGGCTACTGGCAAGTCATTTAACCTCTTTGTCCTTTATGTGTCTTACCTATGACAGTGTCTGTTGTCTTAATTCTAAATGGTGTGAAATAAGAACCTTTATGATTAAATTACTAACTATGCAAAGACTCAATGGAGTATATAGTCCAGTGGTTCTCAAGGGGTGGTTCCCAACCAGCAGCATCAGCATCACCTGGGAACTTAGAAATACAAATGAGCAAGCCCCCAGACTGACGGAAACAGAAATTCTGGGGATGAGGCTCAGCTATCCATTTTTATAAAGTCCCCCAGATGCACCCTAAGAATGCCATGATCTAGGAGAAAAAGTGCCGGAATTAGAAAACCTGGGTTCAGGCCTGGCCCTGCCATAGTTGTGTGGTTGTCCTAAGTCACAATCCCAGTTTTAATTTGTAAATTGAGAGTTGGAATTTATTATTTTTATGGACCCTTCTAACTCTAATTTTATACGATTCTCTGATTTTACGTAGCAGCGTGACAAGGCTTTACTGGTCTAAAGTGAGGTTTCTCTGTCTCAAGGCAGACATATCCCAAACTTCAATGTCAGGCTTGAAATAATCTGATAGAAGAGTTAGAGAATATATTGTGATTAAGTGATTCTGGGATGCTGAGATCATCCATTTGGGGACCTAATTTTTCTTCTCCCATGTTAATGTCATTACTCTATTACAAAAGAATAAAAAGCTGAATCCTGCCAGGGAGTGATTTAAGTGACAAGGTACATTAGACATTTTAAACTTGAACCTTCCCTCTCTAGAACAGGTTTACAGAGTGCTAGGGTTAAAGGAGGTATTCAAAGTTGGAACTCTTAAAGATGAATGCCTTATCCTCTATAAACAGTTTTAAAATATCCAAGTAGCAGCTGCCAGGATAGGAAGGAACTGCTACAACATCCAAGCATTATGGGATGCTTTTTAAAGATCCAGTACAGACTACAGGAGAGTAGAGAGACCCCTATTTGCATAAAAAGAAAGACTGCTGTAGCTTGACACATCACTAGGGTTATCCTATATATTTAGGTTCTTACATTTTCACCAGTGCTGCCCTGATCTGGAAATCCTGTTGCTCCTTCTGGGATGAGGGAACCTCTCGAATCTTCCCTCTTAATTCCATGTCCATTTTGAAAAGACCCATAAGCTGGAAAAAAGCCAAGTCCTTGTTAGCAACAGGAGGAACTGTCAAAAATATTTTTAAAACTAAGCACTGGGTTAATTTAAGTAAAGACATATTTTAGGAAATAGATCTTGGTCATCTAAAATGTGAAGTTTATATATTACATCAAAACACCATAAGAAGCCAAATAAAGGGTAAGCAATTTTTTTTCCTTGAAACACTTTAACGTGTATGAAACTACAAGAAATTCCTTGCAAGTCATAAAATAAAGGCAAACAATTAGATAATTTTATAGATAAGGAAGTTTGGCCCAGAAAAAGAAAGTGTCTTGTCCAGGACTGGAGACAGATGATTGGAAACCAGTGTTTTTCTCATTATCCTTTATTTTCTTAGTATACTAAGCTAAATTTTATACAAGCTGAGACAAGGAAACCTAAGCAAAGAAATGTGGCTGCAAGTGTAAGATTTTAATTAAACTTTAGTAGAGATTGCGCTATGTATAGTTTTTATTATGAAATATTTCAAAAATACAGAGACTATGTATAGGGTACATTTCTAAACAGCCATGCCACGTATAATCTTTAAAGGACTTTTAATTACCGGTGTCTTTGTCAGTGCTCAGACTCGCTCTACTTGTAGGTGAAGCGAAGCCACATGCAAACTCATCTCTGGATGCCTGTAACACAGTGTGATACCTCTGTCATTTAAATACATTTGTACACCAGGATAAGAAATCGGAATTAACAATGAGATGGTACCCTAATTTTAAACAAAGCTCACTGTGAAAGTCTAAATCACGTATCAGTATTGGTATTTAGGGGACATCTCTTTTAAAAATGGATCCTGGGGGCTTCCCTGGTGGCGCTGGTACCGTGAGCCATGGCCGCTGGGCCTGCGCGTCCGGAGCCTGTGCTCCGCAACGGGAGAGGCCACAGCAGTGAGAGGCCTGCGTACCACACACACAAAAAAGAAAATGGATCCTGGTACACTGTTACAACCATGACCTCTGGCAAAGTGACACAACTCTAGGTGGCTGGTAAAAGCTGCAACTGGTGTGATCTAAACATGATTCCATTCTCCTCCTTGAAGCAAGGGCAATACTAGAAGGAGAGGTGTGACCAGAGGCCCTACATGATCTTGAGTTGCAAAAGAAAGAACAGGTAAGTAAAATATTTCCAAATATCACTGTCAAATGTTGTGGAGTAAGCATAAGCATGAGTAACTGTGTTTGTGAAGAAAGGCTTGCTTGCCACCCAGGTAAGTGATATAGCGTCCACATTTAGCTGATTTACATAATTGGGAGGTACAGGCAATCAAGTGAGGCTTAAAAGCAGCTTTCTCAGGAACCCAGGGTAGGCTTGACAAATCTATGGACATTTATTATGGGGAATTTCCAAAGGAAGCTGTAAAGGACACAGTTTCACCTGCCACCCAACAATGTGACTTGGCTACTGAACATGTGAAGGTGATCTTGGGCCAGACAGAACGTGGAGTGGGGGTGGGGCAGGAGTTATTAGTCGCACTGGACAGACTGTAAAGTATACACCACATTTTAAAATGGCAGTTGGTAAAATGGAGCATGTCCAGAAGACTCCAACCAAGAAATGTAAAGGGTTTGAAACAACAAATGATGAAGTGGAGATATCTGGCCTGAAGAAAAATTTAGAAGGGATATGTGTGAAGGGGTATCACGTGGAGGTAGAAATGGATGTGTTCTATGTATCACTAGAAGGCAAAACTGGGACCAGTGGATAGAAAATCTTGTAGATCTAATGTGAGAAGGAAAGTTTTAATTACTACTATGGCAAAATGTTCTTTTGCCAAGTGGAAGACTGATCACCTCCAAAGTTCCTTTCAACTCTAAGATTCTAAGGGGAGAAAAAAGCACAGGGAGAAAAAAGCACAGACCAACTGTGATGAGTTAAAAGCCACTCATCAGGAAGTGCTGAAAGGAGGCTGTCAAAGAGAAGGAGAAGCAAAGGAATACAGTTTAATCCCTGGTGCCTAATATTTTGCAAAGTGAATGTTTTGTTCAGTTTTCCAGTTGAATAAATATATGAAGGCATGTAACAGCAGCAAATCTTAAAAAGAAAACACTGAGCACAGAGGATTCTCGGTGTTCTCTTGGACCTCGTTACTCAAAGTATGGTCCTTAGACGAGAAAAAGCCAAGAGCCTGTTTGAAACGCATAATCTCAAGCTCCACCCCAGGGCTACTACATTAGAATCGCTGTCTTCATTCCCCAGGTGACCCATATGCACATTAAGATTTGAGAAGCACTGCTCCAGGAAAAAGTATAAATTTAAAATGTTGTAAAAGGTGCACTATTGAGACCATACAGCGTATGACCCTAATTCTGAATACAGTCAATAAAACAGGATAAAATGCCAATAGAAACACATTACTACTTACAGAATTAGGCATGGCTGCACAAGAATACAAGGTATCTCGACCTGCTAATCGCTGTATATTTTCCAAGAGCAGTCCAACAAATGGGAGGTACAATTGTGCTATTTTGGCTTGTTGGTTCTGAAAAATAATTATCAAAAGCTTAATAGATATATAATATGCCTGTATTACAAACAAAGTTGGCTCCATCTGTCCGTTTAAACACTAAAAGCAAGCTAATATCCATAACAAATTAGTGAAGCATGAGTCTATTTATACTCATAGTCTCTAACTGCCACACCACTTTGTTGGTATTTGAATTTATATACAATAGAGAGTCAAAGCACATCCCTCAAACATCACTACATAACAGGCAAAAGTTTATTTTTTTTTAATAGCAGATCATATTAGTCCTGCTCTTTAACTCCAGCGAGGGTTGAGTTTGATGAGAGCAGGGATCCTGTCTGTCTTGTTCACTGCTTCATCCCCAGTGCCTGGACACATAGTATATGGTCAATATACATTAGCTGAATGAATGAATAGATGGAAGAAGTAAAAAAATGGTGAATTACTGTATTCGTTCAAGAAATATGTCTTTGCTTTGAGTAAAGCTGCAATTAAAATTACGTGATCTTGGCCCCCTAAGTCAATTATACAACTTGGGAGATTGATATATTTGTAAATATGCAAGTGAAGCTGGCCACTGGTCATCTTAATGAATGTGGTACCTCTTATACGAATTTATTTATTGCTTTTCTCAGCTATAGACATTCCTCACCAGATATGTACATACATTCAAATCAGCCAAACCAGTGGTTGTGATGGCGCAAGAGTTGCCCTCCATACTTTAGGGCTTTGGGAGGTTTGTCTGTAGACTTAGATAAGGCCTCTAGGGTACAATGGTTAACCTATAGAATACAGATCAATAGTGTCTCCTCATAGTTCCATTTATTCTTGAAATTGAACCATTTTTCATATGTTAATTGTCCATTTGTACTTCCTCTTTTATGAGCTTCAGGAACTCTTAACAGACCTACTTCTAATACGCAACCCTAATCAATAATGGTCTCTATCGCTAGGAGATTCTGGTTCAGTAGGTCTGGGCTGGGTCCCAGGAATCTGCCCCAGATGGTGCTGATGTGCACTGAGGTTTGAGAACCACTGATCTAGTTCAATATCCTGCTCAAGGCAGGAACAGCCCTTACCTGCATCCTTGACAGACGGTTAGTTTTTAAACTTCTTAAACACTCCAGCCCTTTCAGAGGTTCTGTTAGAAAAATCCTTTAGCAGTTAAGTTCTACCTGCTAGTTATAGCCCACTTCCACTTTACATGGCAACCCTTTAAATATTTGCAGACAATTACCACAAATTGTCTTAATTCACTCTTCACAAGGCTAAATAGCTGTTACTACTTTCCTTTATTCTTCACATGGCTTTGATTTCAAGAGTTTCCACCATCATCATCACCCTTTCTCGGCAGTTCTCTAATTTTCCAGGGTCCCACTTAAGATTTGAGAGGCAGTATAGCCTAGTGGTTAAGAGCACAGATTTTTGAATTTTAGACACATGAATTCCAGCTCTCCCGTTACTAGTTACTTGATTGTGATCAAGTCACAACCACAGTTTTCTCTTTAGTAAGATGGGGCTAATAACAGTGACATTAATTCATGTAAGCTAATGTTTAATGCAGTGCCTGGCATATAGTGAGTCCTCAATAAATTTTAGCTACTATTATTAATATTATAGCTTCTAGATGGGAATTCATTTTAGTTCTGATAGGGAATGATCACTAGGGAAGGAGATACTACTACACCTTTCTCAGGTGAACAGGAACACAGGAAAGCATGCAGTCAGGGCAAATATATTAAAAGTTTTGTCTGCACAAAAGACAGAAAACCATCTAAGAATCTATTAACAGAAGACAGTTTAGATAAATAGAATAAGGTATATCCATATGATGGAATACTATGCAGATTTAAAATAAATACAGATCAAATCTTCAGGCTATATTGTTAAATGACAAAAGAAAAATGCATAATGGTTTCTATTATATATTTATATATAGACATATATATAGCATATTGGCTTGTGCATGCATAAAATAGAAGTTTATATAAGAAACTGATAACAGTAGTTGCTTCTGGAGAGATGAATTGAGGCATGGAGGTAAGGAATGGGAGAGAGGCATTTTGATTCTTTTTTTTAACATGTGTGTAGGATTACCATAAAAAAAAAAAAGAAAAAAAAATCTGCCCACAGTCCAAGCAGAAATTGCAATTCTTAGGAGTCAACATCACTTGCAGTGGTACAGGAACTAATACAGACCCCAGAATAAATGTTAAGATGTTGGATATTCTTGTTCTGGGTAGGAAAGATGTCTCATGGTATTAGGAGGGCTCCCAAAGCAGTTTTTGAGTAGCACATAATAGGGACCAGTGACATCTCCATAATTTCATTAGAGGAGAGGCTGAGGAAGGCAACATGCTTGGAATGGGGGGGTGGCGGTGACTAGGAGATCTAGTCTCAAAGCAGCCTTTCCACAGGAAGAATTTTTTTCTTGACTGTATTTTTATTTGGGGTCACTTTGGGGGACCCAATGGAAATTATAGAGGCTCAAAGCTCCCCTCTCTGCCCTCACCGTGGCATCATCATTAATGGTGAACATGTTTTAAGTGAATGTATCAATATTTGACAAATGACCTCTTACTCAGGCCACCTGTGAAGTCTTTGGACCAAACAGAGAAAGGGAATGAAGCAGGCCCATGAAGCAAAGTTTTACTGGGGAGAATCCTATACACACTTAAAACCTGTCAGAAGATTTTGAACAAAGAAAGGGCTTTAGAAATTACTGAAAGGGTAATGAGGCTGGCATGTCAATCTTTCCCATAGTCTAAAACCTCAAACACTCAAAGAGGCAGAGTGTTATTTACAGATAACAACAGTGACGTGCGTGTGTGCATGTGAGTACATATACGCTCTCAGAATTTTAAAAAGTAAATAATGTGCAAATATGTGATATAAAATATTTAAAGTTCTACCTCTAGGTAAGACACTAGTGAAATCCGATATTCCTTCACTTTCATCTAAGGAGGCAGGGGAAAAAAATACAACTTCCTGCTTTAAGAACAGGAACTTCATTTTGTACTTTTCCCACAAATTCTTTGAAATCATGGCTAAAGACATTTTCCTCCGCTACTACTAGGTACAAACAGAGCCCAGTGGTAACTGGCATTTTTAAAGCTTTGACAAAGCTTGGTTGGAATGGATGACTTTAAGATATCTTTTCATTTAGATATATTATGCCAGTTAACTTACGCTAAGTCAATATCAACATTCACACACACAAAGTGGCACATAATAGAGCAAACCACACAAAATGGGAGTATGTTATTATAACTATAATGTGGAAAAAAACGATGCAAATTGCAGTAAGTAATAACACGTGAAAGCTAAAGAATTTAAATCTACTTTAGGATAGAATTATATGAAGAAAACTAGCAAAATTTGTAAGTAAAACAAATCTTCATAATTAAAGAAATGTAGTTGGATGTAGCTGGCAGGCATTTTCTGTTTTTTAAGGACAAATGGGAATACTGTAGAAAAAGAATAAGATCCAGCTCCAAGTCAGCTTTCCAAAGTAAATAAATGACATGATAATTTTATTTAAATTTGAATGTAGAACAAAGGGACAAATTCTTAATTATGAAATAATATGTTACCTTGAGCCAGGTAAGTAAGTTAGGTTATTCTAAATCCATCCAGTTTGCCATCTACTTTTTGAAGCCCATAGGGTATAATGTTAATAAGATTTGAATATACCCTCCATCCCCATATATTAAGTTAAAGGTGCGGCAAAAAGCAACTGCAGCTGTGGCCTTCACACATAGACAGTGTGTAATGTATGGAAGGTTTACAGCCACACCTACATTTTTTCAGTAAGAAGAAAAACTTCATATTTACATCTTTTATATACTGGACATGCTTAATGTGTCACTATTAATCAGTTAATAATCAATAATAGCATTTATTTAGGGAGATATATTTAAGGATATATATTAAGGCGTGTATTTGAAAGAGTGCACATGGCTATAATCGTGTAAGATTTTTTAAAAAAAATTCTAGTTTATGTAACAAATCATGAAGCAGCTGTGCTGTTCTTTAGACATGATTTGAAAAACCAGTGTTCTTCTTCAACAGTTATCTGAACAGTATTTTTAAAACCTAATCATTTGAAACGGAAACAAAACGTATTTGTAAAAATAACTTCATCAATCCTCCTGTAACGTTCCTTACTGAAAACTTCACCTTGAACATAAAATCTTCTTAGAAACTAACTAACGTGATACTGATGATGATACGAACATCCTTACCTTATGCTGGTATCTAGTGTCAAATGCATGTTTTATCAAAAGATTCTTTATGACAGAGATAGCTGTATATCTGATATCATAATTGTCTTGAAGAGCAATGGAGGTTTCCCTCAGAAGTAGACCAACCAAGAAGTGATGCTTGCAATACTCATCTGATAAACTGTATTCAAGATTTGAATCTGCAGTATAATGAAATTTAAAACCCATTTATAAAAATATTCAAAAATTACTTTAACATTAAAGCACTATATTTATTACTTAGTCATATGTGACCACGCTAGCAAGAACTATATTGTTATGACTAACAAATATGAACAGTTCTTTTATCATATAGAATAAGCATGCAAAATTTTACAAGATACGAGCACTCATCATTGGGGCTAGATGATAGCCTTAATGATAATTTCAGTCGGTAAGATAGTCCCTAGAATTCTTTGTTTTTCGAGATGCTTTTCAAATCTTAGAAATCTTAGGATAAAATCTAGAATGAAAGAATACTGTATTTGGCAATGTTTTAACACATTTCTTCACATCTGAAGAGATTTAGTTACAACTACAAATTGGAGTAATTCTCTACAGCAATACTTGACTGAATCACTGTAACAGTATTAACTATTGACTGTTCTAGTAAATGTTATATATTGGCCCCAATACAATGGGGTACAAGAACAATAAGAAAAACAGTCTTATCTCACTCAAATTCATCACGCGAATACAAATCTTTTATTTCATAAAATTACCGCTTCAAACTATTTCTTTCACTTCCTTTTAGATCCTCAGTCCATTTTAAATCCCAGCTGCTAATATCCTGGTTGGGAGTTGCCTTATAAACTGATTGGGTCACAATCAGAAGGGACTGTGACCAAGTTTAGTCATTTCTACGGTAAATTTCTACTACCTTTATTTCCTCTCCCGTACCCTTTAATTTTAGTTAGGCCATAAAGCTGAAGGATATGTTTTCCATTTCTTTTCCGGCCTCTTCAGCACTTAATATAATGCTATATATTCAGTTAGGACTTAATAAATGCTAAATCAGATTTAATCCTAAATCCTCATCCCTTCTTTTCCCTGAATTCCTCAAGCCATCAATAAATACTGGGGGAAGTATCGGAGCTATACATGCTCAGAATCTAATAAGGGAGCAGTTGAATACGGGTGCTTGGGTTTTTAAATATTTTTTCTCCATTTTCACTGGCTGGCATTCAAGCACTGAAACTGGTGCTCAGCAGCTACCCTCCTAGAGACCGAGGTAGCTGATATTCTTTCTGCCATTGGTCATGCTCTTTTGTGAATCCCAACCACTTTCTATGCACAAGAACCAGTACGGACTAACCCAGGTGGCCTTATCTGGGTCGACTTTACAATGGTAGTAAGGTTTTTTACTTCAGGGGTCTGAATAAATCGAATCAGGTAGTTTCAGCCAACCTCCAAAACTGCGGCCAAGCAGTCATTAAGCAGGGTCAGAGAGAGGGGAGGCAAGCCTGGCAGAGATGAGACACACTTAAAGAACAGCTACCCTCTAGCCCCCATGCTGGCTTGAGCCAAAACTTGTTTTCTGAGGACGGTGTTCTAAAGTTGATTCTTCTAGCAATCAACACTCAAGCTGATTTTAAGAGTTAACAAATACACCACCTCCTAGGTTTTCTGGGTACATTAACTAAAGCCTCATCTTGGCTAGGGAGGATTTAAAAAGCAAAGAAAGCCCCCATCCATCTTAGCCATTCATGAAATCAATTGTTTTTAAAGACAGCAAACTACTTTAGAGTGAACCGAGTTAAACCTACCTACTGAAGTCAAACGGTCCACCGCAAATGAAAAAAAATCTAATTAATATATGAAAAGAAAAGGGACAAATAAAAAACATAGTAACATAAGAATAGTGCTACACAACAAAGCATTCAATAAAACTAGCAATGGAGATAACTGAAGGCATTTCATCAATTTAATACATACATATCACTATTTTACTCTGCCTTTATACTTCTCTTTTGATGTTCCATTCAGCAGAAATGTATTTATATGGTTTTTTCTTAATTCAGTCTCACATTAGAGTCCAAACAGTACTACAGACAGCAATTTAACTGGTATCTGACATCTGTGTTTAAGCAGCAATCTACGTAACACACCTAATTTCTTCATTCTATGAATACTACCACTGACACTATGAAGGAAATGCCGAGTACCATTAACGAACCTATCTTCACATAGTAACAATTCTGACATTACCTTTAGATTGACTGGTTTAACTAGAAAACGTTATACTATACTAGCGCTAGCCAAAAACAGGAAAACACAATCCCTAATGATGGAAAACATAAATACATACCTTGAACTCGCTGAAGTTTAGGCTTTGCAAATGCCATTGGCAAATTCAGAGGAATGTAATGTTCGTGATTGCAAACTGTTTGCAGGAATTCAAACTTGTATTCAGCCAGGACCTAAACACAAAGAAATTATACCAGAACTCCTATTTAGTAGTCATTTACTATTTTAGTGATTAAATACAGTGCATTAATTTTCAAAACAGAAGTGTTTAGTATTTTAGGCATACCTTAAAATGTGACCTGTGCAGTAAAGAGTTAACATAGCAGGTCTAAGACTGCTCACCTTAAAAAGGCCTGCTTGCACGGGTGGTCATTGGCTGGCATTTGGGAAATTTGGATTTTTTTTTTAATTATATACGTTTCAGGTATACAACATTATAATTTGACATCTGTATACACTACAAAGTGATCATCACCACAAGTCTAGTTGCCATCTATCGGCATACAGTTTACACCCCCTTCACCATTCTGCCCACCCCCCAACCTCTTCCCCTCTGGTAATCACTAATCTGTTCTCTGTATCTATGAGTTTGTTTGGGGTTTTTTTTGTTCATTTCTCTTTTTAGATTCCACATGTGAGCGAAATCATATGGCATTTGTCTTTCCATCTGACTTACTTCACTTAGCATAATACTTTTAAAGTCCATCCACGTTGTAAAATGGCAGGATTTCATTCTTTTTTATGTTTGAGTAGTATTCCACTTTATACATATACACATACAAAGACACACACACACACTTACACACATATATACCACATCTTCTTTAACCATTCATCCATCGATGGACATTTAGGGGTATTTCCTTATCTTGGCGACTGTAAATGATGCCACAGTGAACATAGGGGTGCATGTCATTTTGAATTAGCGCTTTAATGTTCTTTGGATAGATACCCAGAAGTGGAAAAGTTGGGTCATATTATGGTAGTTCTATTCCTAATTTTTTGAGGAATCTCCATACTGTTTTCCACAGTGGCTACACCAATTCACAGTCCCACAAACAGTGTACGAGGGTTCCCATTTCTCCACATCCTCTCTAACATTTGTTATTTCTTGTCTTTTCAATAATAGCCATTCTAACAGATTATGAGGTGATGTCTCATTGTGGTTTTGATCTGTGTTTCCCAATTAGTGATGCTGAACATCTTTCCATGTGCTGTTGGCCATCTGTATGTCTTCTTTAGAAAAATGTCTCTTCAGATCCTCTGCCCATTTTTAAATCAGATTGTTTTTGTTGTTGTTGAATTGTATTAGTTCATTATATATTTTGGATATTAACCCCTTGATGGATATATGATTTGCAAATATCTTCTCCCATTCAGTAGGCTGCCTTTTCATTTTGATGATGGTTTCCATCGCTGTGTAAAAGCTTTCTAGTTTGATGCAGTCCCATTTGCTTATTTTTGCTTTTGTTTCCTTTGCCTTTGGAGTCAGATCCACAAAAACATCACTAAGATGGATGCCAATAAGGTTACTGCCTACGTCTTCTTCTAGGAATTTTATGATTTCCAGTCTTACGTTCAAGTCTTTACTCCATTTTGAGTTAATTTTTGTGTTATGATGTAAGAGAGTGGTCTAGTTTCATTCTTTTACATGTGGCTGTCTAGTTTTCCCAACACCTTTCATTGAAGAGACTGTCTTTTCTCCACTGTATGTGCTTTGCTCCTTTGTTGTAACTTATTGCTCATATATGTATGGGTTTATTTCTGGGCTCTCAGTTTTGTTCTGCTCATCTGTGTATCTGCTTTTATGCCAGTCCCATACTGTTTTGATTATGATAGCTTGTAGTATAGTTTGAAATCAGGGAGCATGATACCTCCAGTTCTGTTCTTTCTCAGATTGTTTTGGCTATTCAGGATCTTTTGTGGTTTCACACAAAATTTTAGAATTATTCGTTCTAGTTCTGTGAAATATACCACTGGAGTTTTGATAGGGAATACACTGAATCTGTAGATTGCTTTGGGTTGTATGAACATTTTAACAATATTAATTCTTCCAATCCATGATAATGGAATATTTCCACTTATTTGTGGCTTCTTCAGTTTCTTTCATCAGTGTCTTTTGGTTTTCAGTGTACAGGTCTTTCACCTCCTTGGTTAAATTTATTCCTAGGTATTTTATTCTTTCTGATGCAATTGTAAGTGGGACTGTTTTCTTAATTTCGCTGATAGTTTGTTATTAGTGTATAGAAATACCACGGATTCCTATAGGTTGATTTTGTATCATACAACATTACTGAATTCATTTATTAGTTCTAACAGAGTTTTGGTGTAGTCTTTAGGGTTTTCTGTATGTATCATCATGTCATCTGCAAATAGCGACAGTTTTACTTTTTCTTTTCCAATTTGGATGCCTTTGATTTCTTTTTGTCACCTAATTTCTGTGGGCATCCTTGTCTTGTTCCTGATTTTTTTTTGGCTGCATTGGATCTTTGTTGCTGCGCGTGGGCTTTCTCTAGTTGCAGTGAGCAGGCGCTACTCTTCGTTGTGGTGCATGGGCTTCTCATTGCGGTGGCTTCTCTTGTTGTGGAGCACAGGCTCTAGGCACACGGGCTTCAGTAGTTGTGGCACGTGGGCTCAGTAGTTGTGGCTCACGGGCTCTAGAGTGCAGGCTCAGTAGTCGTGGCACATGGGCTTAGTTGCTCCACGGCATGTGGAATCTTCCTGGGCCAGGGATCGAACCCATGTCCCCTGCATTGGCAGGCAGATTCTTAACTACTGTGCCACCAGGGAAGCCCCTTGTTCCTGATCTTAGAGGAAAAGCTTTCAGTTTTTCACTGTTGAGTATGATGTTAGCTATGGGTTTGTCATATATGGACTTTATTATGTTAAGTTATGTTCCCGCTATACCCACTGTTGAGAGTTTTTATCATAAATGGATGTCGAATTTTAGCAAATGCTTCTTCTGCATCTATTGAGATGGCCATATGATTTTTATCCTTCATTTTATTAATGTGATGAATCGGGTTGACTGATTTGTGGATGTTGACCCATCCTTGTATCCCTGGAATAAATCCCACTTGATCATGTTGTATGACACTTTTAATGTATTGTTGAATTCAGTTTGCTAATATTTTGTTGAGGATTTTTGCGTCTATGTTCATCAAAGATATTGGCCTGTGATTTTCTGTTTTGTGGTGTGGGAAATTAGATCTTGAAACAAACATTTCCTACATGATAAGACTGTGCCTTCTGTGCCAACCTGTTCAGCAGTGTGCAAACCATGTGATTTATGGTGAACATCTGCCTTCCTGTCCTTTCCAAGACTCTGGAAATTTTGACCAGCCTCAAATACATAACTAGCCCCCAACAAAACCCCTAAGCCCTGAGTCTCAAATGGGCTTCCCTAAAGAGAAATGTTGCACACATGTGGCTCAATTTTCACTGCTGGAGAGAGGATGTGCTCTATGTGACCCTTCACAGGAGGGAGGGCACTCAGGAAGCCTACACGTAGATTGCCAAGGACTCCACTTGATGTCTTTTCCCCTTATTGATCCAACTGAGCATCCTTTTTGTGTCACTGTAATGAATCTTAGCCGTGAGTACGTCCTGTGAGTCATTCTAGTGAACCATCAAACACGGGGTAGTACTGGGGACCCCCAAAACACTATCCATTATTCCCTGCTTTGAGGTATAACTCTAGTCAAAGCACCTAAATGAAAACAGCAGTTCCAAATCCTCCAGAGGAGAATGTCACCATTGTTCTCACACTCTAATGTCTGACACCCACTGCAGTTATGTCCTTATAACTTATCTTAGGATCTTTGAGGCTGAATCCAGATATATAGTCATTTATCAAATTGAAAACAAATCCTCTATCCATTAGTGTCAGACAGCGCTATAGGAACCAAATCAAAATGAACAGTTAGTTACATAATTCTAAAGGTCTGTCAAGTTTTTAAAATTCAAAAAAATTTTAAATTTTTTCCACATTAAGGGGATGACATTCTCACTTTTACAGATAATAGAAAAACTTTCAGAGATTTAGGTGACCTTAAAGAGATAAAATGGGACTTCCCTGGTGGCACAATGGTTAAGAATCTGCCTGCCAATGCAGGGGACACGGGTTCGATCCCTGGTCTGGGAAGATCCCACATGCTGCGGAGCAACTAAGCCCGTGTGCCACAACTACTGAGCCTGCACTATAGAGCCTGCAAGTCACAATTACTGAGCCAGCGTGCCACAACTACTGAAGCCTGCACGCCTAGAGCCCGTGCTCCACAACGAGAAGCCACCGCAATGAGAAGCATGCACACCGCAACTAGAGAGAGCCTGAGCACAGCAATGAAGACCCAATGCAGCCAAAAATAAATAAATAAATAAATAAAATTTATTTTTTAAAAAAATAGAGAGATAAAGGGCAAATGACTTATCATTGGAATTGGGACTCAACTGTATAATTTTCAAACTAAGATATATATACACATATATATATACACACACAAATACATGTATACATATATATACACATATATGTATATAAACATATATATGCATATATATTGATATGTAATCTATTAGCTATACTGCCTCATTTTGGTTAACTCTCAAAGCTCAAAGTGAACTGGAGGGTGGTTAGTGGGGCTTACCTATGTGAACATTTCAGGCCAAAAGTGAAGTTTTTCTGTGGGTCCTGTGAAGTCTTGGCCTACAAAACATTCTTCCTCTGTGACAACCCTACTAGTTATTTATATGTTCCTGCTATCACTCTCCTGGTTAAGGCTTTCATTACCTTGCAACTGCACAACTGCAGTTATCCTCCAAACCTGTCTTCCTGCCACTAATCTTTCCATCCAACTGCTTCCAGATTAATCTCTAAGTCCTAGCCCTAATCATGTCACCTTTCTTCCCAAAAGCTTTCAACAGTTTCCTATTGCCTCTAATATAATTTCAAACTCCTTAGCTTGGCATTCAAGGGCACTCACAATCTTGTCCCAACCTACTTTTCCAGTTTTATTTCCCAATACAGCTCATCTACTTATTACCCACTGAAGATGCACTGTGCATTCCCACCTCTGGGTCTCTGCTCATGCCAGGTCTAGCTAGCAATTCTATCACTGCTTCTACATAATCCTGCCCATTCTTCAATGATGAAGCCCATTTTCATTAACCACCTTGGTCTACAGGGCCCTTTAAACACTTTATACTAGCTTGTATTTTCCTTATTATTTTCCTGCTTTCACCTAGAGAGGACAATAGGAACGATCTCTTTCTTATGTTCTCCATGGTACCTACAGTAACCCTGTGAAATAGAAGGAACTCAATATTTGATTAATCAGCCATTTGTATCTCACTTCTCATCTCTCCTTTCAACTTCCACTGCCTCATCACCTCTCACCTGGATTAATGAGGTAGGCTTATATTTATCTGTTCATCCAAAAACATTTTGAGGATCTGTGTTTGAAACAATGCATTACATTCTAGAGAAATACAAAGGTGAGTAAGATATGGTCTTTAGTCTTGTCTAATGGTAAAGACAAATAAACAAACAAACAATTAAAATACAGCACAATAAAAAGTTATACACGTATGTAAAGGACGGGTAAACAACAGAAGGGGTGATCAGCCCTGTGTGGGAAGGTTAGGAAAGAGTTGAGCCTAAAAGATGAATGGACTCTGCCAGGCAGACAGGGGGGAAAGACTGGTCTTCTAACTGGTTGCCTTCACTCTGGCTTTTTCCTCACCTCTTCCAAAATCTTTGGTATATAGACAGCTCCATGGCATATAGCTCCGAATCTAAATCCCTTAGCCTGACATTCAAGGCCTTTCATCATCTGGCATCAGATGGTCTTTCCAGCTCTACCTCCACACATCCTGAACTCTGCACAATGACTTTCTTGCTCCTCCCCGAACAATTCTTGAATGCATGTATCTCATCTTTGCTCACGAATCCTCTACCTGAAACACCCTCAACCCTGTCTTGGGGAACTATTCTTCTAGTCTCTGTTCATACTACCTGGTCCTAATCCCTCCCTTTCTTATTTTCCGATTGTATTTTGTTTGTGTTTTCAGTATAGCAGTCATCACACTTGATCTTGTACATGTACTGGAATATAATTACAGAGATAGCCTCTCACATCTTTGGATTCTCACATAGAGGACAGACAAATGTTTGTTGACTTGAATGAGGTAAATACTGCTATTAAATCGACTATGTTCTATTCCGTTTACACAGCAAACTTCCAAGTTTAAACTCCATGGAAGAAACGAAGATTTTACATTTCAAACAGTCTCATCTTTACTTTAAAAAGATATGTGGATGTTTGGTTTTTAATACACAAAAGGGCTCATGTAATAGTGTTAAAACTTTGTTTTAATTCTGGTAAACAGAGGTCTTACATCAGAAAATCATGCTCTGGAGATCTGAAACCTAGTTGTGAATTTTTAATAAGAAAACAAGGGTATGTGAGATACTAAAACTGCTTGGGTGGATTATTGACTATGAGGTTCTTAAGATAAGGTTGAGACATGATGAAAGGCTGTGAGAAGATGGGGAGTGAAGTAAAAACTAAGTGCCTTACAAACCCATGCCCCTTCTCTGCAGCAAATCGAAGATTATTATTACCCACTTTCTAGAACAATCGCATTCCAGCACTGCCCCTTACATACGGAGAATAACAAAATACAATAATGAGAAACGTGCTATCTTTCATAAATATAGGAGTTTCTGACATCTCTCAAAATAGTCTCACTGACCAAAAGCAACAATTTTCATTTACATGTATTAGCAACAAGTAGATGGTGATTATATTAGCAATGTGTAGACTGTGCCTTTAGTTCAAGAGTTACAAACTCAGCGGCCAACAGGGTCTGAGAAGCTATTTAAATGTATAGAGTGTCGGGGTATATTAAGGAGTGGTGGGGTTTGTGGCAACCTAGAAAGTACAGGCCCCACCTAAAGGCATTCAAATTAATATTTCTGAGAAACACCATGTAAAACCAGCAAGACGTGCCTTCTGGTTAAGCCACCTATGTGGGACCTCCCTCTGATTTAATTAATTAACCATTGGGGGTGGGGGATCAAACATGGCTGTTTAACTGAATTGATGGATTAATTCAGTCAAAAGTTTCTCCAGCAGCCTAGCTGAGTCTCTAGAAAGTAGGTAATTTTTTTTCTTTGGCTTTAAAGACCATATCGGTGAAGAATAATTCCTTACCATGTTCTGGCTGCCTTTAACTCACCTTCAGGAAGCTAGCCAAACTATAATTGACGTTTCTGGACTCGTCAGGAATCTCTGCATAGCGAATAGTCACGTGAGGAATTATTGCAAGAAGCAATGAATGTAAGACATGATGATATGCCTCAGAAAATCTCTGGCCTCTGGGAAGCTTAAATTAAATAGGCATAGAAAAAAAGAGTTGCAAAAGATCTAAATCAATTGCTGTTTTTATTTTCAGACACATTCTGTATAAAAATGTGTTTTTAACTGGAGTTTAATTTTTCTCCCAACTTAAAAATGACATGGCTAGTTCAGTATATACTTTAGATCATTATAGGAACTATCTGGACATCCAATACCATAACTGACTGAAATCATGAACAAGAGTAGGTCATTCTGACCCAACTTTGGAATCGTGTTCCTGAGATACAGACACATCCGTTTGTTCATTCCATGTTTTTCCTGACACACAAAGTATACATGTATCCATGCATCTCAATTGTAGTAAACCTGCTCTGTGAAGATTCTGATAAAAATGATAAGTATGAGATGAATATTTTTTACTTCACAAATCTTAGCTTTCAATTCCTACAGCTAAGAAAATTTCTTCGTACTTTCGAAAGAGTTTAAAAATATGACTAAATGTATACAGCACATGCCAGGAACACATGTATTATTACATAAAGTGCTTTTAACTTTGTACGTGCCTTCGACCTTTCTAAGAGAATGGTTCTTTCTTATTTGGTACTTGTTCTTCTTCCAAATGAATGTTCTGACATAGACATTTTAAAACCACAAGACAAAAGGAAAGCTTCAAAGATAATGCATTTAACATGGCAAATACCTCACAGGAAACTATGTGGAAGAGTCTCTGACGATTAGACTTTGAAAACATATGAACTGTCAGATTTTTGCAATACATCCATTGTGTTTTTGCTTGTTTTAAGCAAAATTGAAAAAGCTAAGGGCTAAGAGCCCTTAAAATATAAGAGGATTTGCATGTCACGGCTACCTGTGAATAAGATTAGCCTTCTTTGTCTATGTTAAATATTATTCTTGAGCCTACTTACCTTAATTTTATTCTCTTCCAACAAGTATGTGGCCATAGACTTTGCAATAATTTCAAAGAAAAACCATGAGTACTAAAATAAACAAATAAATACAAATCAATCTTTAGTAGTTACCCAAATCCTTGAAGCTTAGCAGAGGTTGACGAATCACTATGGATTTTGTCTCTGAACTTTAGTAACATTTTAAAGTGATCGCAATTGTCCAAGTCCCACAGGATACCTTCAAACTGTGTTGGCAAAAAGGTAAGTCGTGTACCTTAGGGCTGGCTGGTGATATACAAAGGCTGTTTGGTGGGAATGTTTAACTCAGTGGGGAGGGGTGTTTTATCACTGACACTGCTTTGAGTTGCCTACATGTGGTGATAAGAGAAAACCAACTTTTAGTTTACTTTAGTATTGCTTTTAAATTCTCTATAGACAGTGAATTGTATTATGGCCTGCACCCAGTGGGGGACCCAACCCTGCCCTTGGTACAACACTGGGGCCAGCCCAAGTAGCAGAGGTGTCTGTGTAAGTGTGATTTGAAGGGTACAGAGAAGCCTCAAGCAGATACATCGTAAAATACCCAAAACTGAAATTCTACCATTATTAACAGGAATAGTAAAAACATGACAATAATAAGAGCCACCATTTGAGTGCCTACTATGTGCCAGAAACAACACGTTAAATGCTTTGCTTATATTTTAGAAGTGAGGAAGTGGAGGCTCAGGACTGCTAAGTAACAGGCTCCGGGTCACAGAACTATTATGCAGTGAATAGAGGATTCTAGCTCAGGTCTATCTCCTCCAAAATTCTTCCTATTACACATTCGACTGTGGGCAGGATGGGGTGGGAAGGGTGAAGGGAATGAAGGAGGTTCTGTGGAGAACTTGGGGGAAAAGGATGTGTAGGTAAAGTGGTGAGGAAAAGGAAAGTCACACGAGGAAATGATGAAAGACTAGAAGTGAAATGGGAGGGTATCAAACAAGCATATCTCTGGCTGCTTTTCTTGCCTGCCGTGTCCTGTGCCCTTACCTTTAGCAGTTTGTTTATTGCTAAAAAGTCTGCAGACTGTTTCAATACCGCTATCATCGTAGTAGCCAGAGTTTCATGTATCAGCTGGGCCTGAGGAGTACTGGGTTTTTCAGGTCGGAAGCTATACTACAATCAAAGAAAACGAGCTGTGAGACAAAATTCTCTCGGAAGACAAACTGCTCAGAAAGAAAGCTTTACTCCACAAACCTTTATGAAGGATCTTAAATAATTATCCAAGCCTTCTTCATGGCACTTTGACACGATATGTAAGAGAACCCTGAAACAACATTCACAAAAGTCAGCATGTCAGGCTACAATTAACCACTATAGTTTGATTGTTCAATAAAACCATCATACTTAACCCTAAAAATACCTAATACTGCCTAAATAATTAAAGGTGAGATGACTGCATTAAGTGTCATCTTAGTTTGGGTCTAACAGAGATTTCAGCATCTAACACGCTCAGGGTCTTGTAGAATATGTTTCCTGGTTCAAAAGACGGATATTTTATTTTGGCAACCCAGATATTTCATCTCCTTTCTAAACCACATTTGAAGTATGGTCATAACCACTACCATATAGTGTAAAAAAAAAAACAACACCTTCAGTAAGGTAAATATTGAAATCCCCTCTAGTGAGAATAAAAGGAAAAGAATAGAAAAAAAATGTTAAGCATGACAACAGATGGGGGAAAAGGGAAGGGAGAGGCAGAGCAGGTACAATGATATGAACTAAAATTGGAAGTAAACCTAAGATTCATAGAAAGTTTTAAAATTATGAGACCAGCAGTGGTTCTCCAACTTTAGCGTGCCTCAGAAACACCTGGAGGGTACTAGTGCTCACCCCTCTCCCAGAGTTTCTGATTTTTTAGGTCTGGGGTGAAGTTCAATGATTAGCATTTTTAATAAGCTCCTAGGTGATATTAATGCTGCTGGTCTGGGAACCACATTTTCAGAACAACTGGCCTAGAATAATGCTTTTTAAATTTGCAACCAGACTACGCCCAGCAGCAGAGAAGAGCAAACAGTATGGAGGTGTGTGGAGCTTCAGCCCTGAGGCTCCAGAGAGGCTCAACAGAAGTGGCAACAGCAGAAGCAGCAAAGCCAGAAAGAGCCAGCACTGAGCTCACAATTTTTTGGAAAACTCCTGTTTTAATTTCAAAATTCAGGTGCATTTTGCATCCTACTCTACAATATATCCTTGTTTGTTTTCATATAAAAAGAACACTCCATTATTCTTTCGAGTACAATTTGATGGCCTAGGGCCACTCTGTCCAATGTGAGAGCCACTAGTCACAAGTGGCGATTAAATGAATTAAAATTAACTACGATTAACACTTCAGTTCCTGGGCTTCCCTGGTGGCGCAGTGGTTGAGAGTCCGCCTGCCGATGCAGGGGACGCGGGTTCGTGCCCCGGTCCGGGAGGATCCCACATGCCGCGGAGCGGCTGGGCCCGTGAGCCATGGCCGCTGGGCCTGCGCGTCCAGAGCCTGTGCCCCGCAACGGGAGAGGTCACAGAGGTGAGAGGCCCGAGTACCGCAAAGAAAAAAAAAAGAAAAAAAAACTTCAGTTCCTCAGTTACACTAGCCACATTTCAAGTGCTCAACAGCTAAATGTGGCTAACGGCCACCATATTGGAAAGCACAGGTATAGAACATTTCCACGACTGGAGAAAGTTCTATTGGACAAGACTGGTCAAGGGCAATGGTTCTCTAACTCCCTTGCGTTAGGGAATCATCAGGGAAACTTAAAAAAAAAAATACTGATGCTGAGTTCCACCTTCAGAGATTCTGGTTTAATTGGTATGAAGTATGGTCCGGGAACAGACATTTTTAAAAGCTTCTAACATGCAGCAGCTTTAGAACCTCTGGTTGAGGAAGTTTATCCTATGGTTTCTGGTATCATCTGTCCCTGGGGATATAAGTCCCCTGGTCTGAGAAGTATGAAACTAGAGAAAACTCATATTAGATTTCTGACTTTGCAAGATAAATTTATATTTCAAATGAAGAAATGCAAAAGGAAACAAAAGTTGCTTCTTGGTATTATGACACTGAAACTCACATGGTGCAGTTGATAGGCACGTCATCTTCATGGGTCATATTTGTGAGGACTCGGAAGAGTTGCATAAGGATTACAGGTAGAAACTGTATCATGACTTGGATCTCCATGGCATGCAAACACTAAAATAAGTCATTATTAGTTATGAAAATAAATCAAAATATGATATAACTTGCAAAGGTGAAACAACAAAAAATTAAGTAATGAAAACTACATTCACTAGAATATAAGCTCACTTTAAACACGAGCTTCAGGGGATAGGGGACTTTGTCAGTTACTTTAGCCACATCTCTATTTTGGCACTCAGGTTCTCTTAGTTCATTTAATATTAAATGCTCTATTGAAGATAAGTATAACTGGGATCAACAGGTTTTGGAATAAAGACAACAGGCTCCTGGTAAACCAACACTCAATCGGGGCGAGGAGCAGGCATGTTTGGAGGTAATGGAGACGGGCCTACCAGCCCCCAAGTTCGTGTGTTTTACAGGGGCAAGTGGGCCATTACTTTGTGGCGAGAAGTTACGTGGGATTCAATAAAGGGTGTTTCTATATATAATTGGCTTTACACTAGCACCATCCACAAGCTGAGGCAGTTCCGCATTCTAACATCTCACAATACACTTCTTCAAAGTGCTAACACTCATCTCTACTGATCAGTATCTTGACATCAAAGAGAAGAAATATGTCCGTGTATACATAGAAATGATACAAGCAGCTAAATATGTAAAATGTCTTCCTTCTTACTTCCCTTCTCTCCGCATTCATTTATTCACTCATTCATTCACTCAATCATTTAGTCAACTGGCCAACCAAAAAAACCTCACTGAGCACCTTCTACACCAATTCAATATTTAGTGCCCTGGGAAATACAGACACGGGTAAAACAAGTCTCTGTACTAAGGAACTCAGCATTTACCTTTCATAGCTTCCCTTACTCTTGCTCTATGTTGCCATCCTTACTCTCAGCTTCCCTTTTCAGGCTTTTCTCATCTGTATTTGAATCATCTCAACAGTGACCTCTGAGATTTCCGGGCAGCCTCTCTTCAATCGGATGCATAAGGCAAGAAACTGAGCTCAGGGAACCCATGGTCTATCCTTCAGGTTTTCCCTTCCTTTTGCCCTCTCTCTTCTATCCTTACAGCCATCGCCCTTTTTCAGAACTCTAACCTATAACCAAAATAGTCTAATAATTTTCTAGTAGGTCTATGTACACTTTCTCCTCACTCCCAATATGTCTCTCATTTCCAAAACTTAATCCTCCTCAAATAGGGGTTACATCAGGCCACCCTGTGCCACCAACAAGATTCTTCTGATGCTTCCCCATGACCTAGGGCAGTGGTTCTCAACCAGAGACCATGTGCCACAACCCAACCCCAATGTCCAGAAACGTTTTGAGCTGTCACAATTGGCGGTGTGTGTGTGTGTGTGTGTGTGTGTGTGTGTGTGTGTGTGCTACTGACATCTAGTGGATAGGCCAGAGATGCTTCTAAACACCCTCCAGTGAACAGGACAGCCCTTTACAACAAAGACTTATCCTGCCCCAAATGTCAATAGTGCCAACTTTGAGAAACTCTGACCCAGGTATTAAGTCTAAGTTACTTAAGACCCAGCTTACACTCTTAACCTTAACACTCATCATTCTTCACGAGGCCACACTGGTGTCTCGACTGCTCCTTGAATATATCAATGCACTGCTACCTTTGTTCACACTTTGTAGCCAAATCCTCGCCGCCCTTCCCAGTCAAGTTCAAACCCCAGTTCAGTGAAGCCATTCATTCACTCATTCAACAAATGCATACTGAATGAACTTTCAATTGCCAAGCACATAAAAAAAAACATGGTTCCTACCATCAAGAAGTTCACAGACTATGGGGGGAAAACACATGGAACTAAATCACTGCGATACAAACACTAAACAGTACAACAGCGGTATATACAAGGCGTACAGAGGCAGAAACAGCCGAGTCGGCCAGTGAGGAGGGAATGTCATATGAGGCTTCAGAAAGGAGGAAGGTTCAAGGATCGTAAGTAGGATCACATCAAGTAGAAAAGAGAGACGGACCTTCCATGCAGAAGTGATCTCCCTGCACCAGTACTGTTCCTCTGGAATTTACTCTCCACACAGCAGCCAGAGGGTTCTTTTGGAAAGCCAAATTCCACAATGTCATTTCCCTCTGTTACAAACAAAACCAACCACCACGAACAGAAAGTTGTGACGGGCTCCCCGTCCTACATGTACCCTGCCTATCACTCCCCACTCATCTGAGGCCATCCTCCTGCTTTGCTGCTCAATGTGCTCTAGCTACGTTCTTCGTTTTTCTTCTTTCCACACATCCCACTGCAAAGTGTTTACACCTGCTGCAATATTCTGTCATCCTTTTAAACAGCTTTATCACCTATGGCTGTCTTCCTCCCATCAGCTTCTTTTCAGCTTGAAATGGTGTCATCTCCTAGACAGGCCTTCCCTGACAAGTCCATCTTGACTGCACTCCTGGTCATGCTAGAGCCCATTAACCTGTTCTATTTTCTTCACAGCACTCATCCCTATGCAATGTGACTTACTTATTTATAATCTCTCTACCCCAACTAGAGTAGGTATGTTGTCTAACTCGTTCCCATTATAGTCCCAGCATCCAGTACAATATGTGACCCATAGTAGGTGCTCAATAAATATTTGAGGGATGACTGAATAAATGAATAAAATAAGGAACCAAAGGGATAAAGATGGGAGCCCTCTAGTCTCAGTGGTTCCTCAGTTTTGTGAACTCTTAGCATTTATACCCTGTATCACGCATTTGACATTTAACTACATATTGCTTTGGACTATCACTTGTACTACTGACTTATATTGTCATTTGACTTAAGTGGATCCTGTCTCTCTGACTGGTTGTAAGATCCCTGTAGACAATGAGCCTAAGTTATTCTTCTCTGTAAGCCCCACAGCATCTAGGAAAATACTGAACACATAATAAGGTCTCAACATGTAGATGGTTAAATGAAGTCATGAAACACTGTCATTTACAAGGACAACAGGTAGCAAGGCTTGATAGAAAGAAAAAAGGACTAGGAGTCAAGAGACACATCAAGAGACAGGCTTGGCTCAGCTCTGCTAGTAACCAGAATGACCACAGGCAAATCACTCTCCTCGGGCCTCAGTTTCCTCATCTGTAAAACAAAATCGCTAAAGATCCCTTTCAGCGCTAACACTCCATACAGGAGCTCTTTCTATAATCACAGGGCATTTCATTCACTGCCACTAGAGGGCAAGCATAGGTCACATAAATATCAGAAATTCCACACCCTTAAAAACGCAAATATGAGTACTTTCTTTTTCCTCCATCCTAAGAATACCAGTATAGGAAAACAGTGTTCTGTTCAATTCTGTTAAAACTTTTACAAAGCTTCCCCACTGGAAGAAAAAGCCAATGATCTCAACAGACAATGCACTCATACGTAGAGCGGGAGTTCTAGACATTACCCAAGAAAAGGATTTGAAGTTAGATGACTACTATACTTCTTAATGATAATTAAGAATCGTAGCCACCATTTATCGGCTACCTCCCTGATTCTACCCTTCCAACAATATATTTTCGGTATGGTAGGCAGAATGATACTTTAAAACCAAAGTCACATCATATTAGGAGGCCTGACCTGACCAGCAACCCAGCCACCTTTCCAATGTGAGGGCCTATCATTCTGTGTGCCAGACACACTGGAACTCCGGCTGTTCCTTGAGCACACCAAGCAAGCTCCTCAGGGCCTCTGCCCTTGCTATTCCCAGCTCTCCCCCAGAATTCCACATAGCTGGCACCCTCCTTTCCTTTAGGTCTCTGTCAAACATCACTTTACTGGAGAGCTCTTCTCTGACACTTTATCTAAAAGAGGGACTCCTTATCACTCCTACTCCCCTGCACTATGTTTTGGTTTTCTTTATAGCACTTATTACCACCTGACATGACATACACAGTCGGCCCTCCGTATCCACACGTTCCGCATCTGTGGATACGGAAAGCTGACTGCAAGGGACTTGAGCATCTTTGGACTTTGGTATCTATGGAGGGTCCTGGAACCAATCCCCCGAGGATACAGAAGGACCACTGTGTGTGTGTGTGTGTGTGTGTGTGTGTGCGCATTTGTTTATGTGTTTATTGTCCATCTGTCTCCACAACAAAGTAAGCTCCTTGAAAACAGGGATATTGTTTGTTTTTTAAATTTATCCTCCCAATGTTTAGAAAGAAGCCTGGCCCATAGGATGCACTCAAGAAAAAAGTGTGGAATGAATGAATACTATATAGCAGATGCCTTATCTCACTGAGGCCTGTAACCACCCTACAAGTGGGTAGTTTTGTTTTGTTTTTTAACATCTTTATTGGACCATAATTGCTTTACAATGGTGTGTTAAGTTTCTGCTGTATAACAAAGGGAATCAGCTATACATATACATCTATCCCCATATCTCCTCCCTCTTGCGTCTCCCTCCCACCCTCCCTATCCCACCCCTCTAGGTGGTCACAAAGCACTGAGCTGATCTACCTTTGCTATGCGGCTGCTTCCCACTAGCTATCTATTTTATACTTGGTAGTGTATATATGTCCATGCCACTCTCTCACTTTGTCCCAGCTTACCCTTCCCCCTCCCCGTGTCCTCAAGTCCATTCTCTAGTAGGTCTGCGTCTTTACTCCCGTCTTGCCCCTAGGTTCTTCATGACCATTTTTTCTTTTTTTTCCTTAGATTCCATATATATGTCTTAGCATACGGTATTTGTTTTTCTCTTTCTGACTTACTTCACTCTGTATGACAGTCTCTAGGTCCATCCACCTCACTACAAATAACACAATTTCGTTTCTTTTATGGCTGAGTAATATTCCACTGTATATATGTGCCACATCTTCTTTATCCATTCATCTGTCGATGGACACTTAGGTTGCTTCCATGTCCTGGCTATTGTAAATAGAGCTGCAATGAACATTGTGGTCCATGACTCTTTTTGAATTATGGTTTTCTCCGGGCATATGCCCAGTAGTGGGACTGCTGGGTTGTATGGTAGTTCTCTTTTTAGTTGTCTGAGGAACCTCCATACTGTTCTCCATAGTGGCTGTATCAATTCACATTCCCACCAACAGTGCAAGAGGGTTCCCTTTTCTCCACAC